ATCTAGAGGGACTAGTACCGAACTTGCACGAAAATCACTCACTACGAAAGCAAAAGACTTGGCAGACGATGCACCAACCCCCAATGAAAAGAAGGTGTCACTAGCACGTTAAGAGAACATACAATAAGTGTCAGGGCCCGAGACTGTTCCTAACTGCCTCCAGCACACATAAGGGGGATTACCAACAGACCCCTGCATCTTCAAGCTGCACTGGACAAGCTCCTAAAGTCAGTTCCGATCAGCCGGCTGTGCTCGTACATGTTTGCGTGCAGCCAGCAGCAACAGCCTGGTGAGACAGGCTCTGAATCCACCGGAGCCTCAAGACGGCCACGGGCGTTGACCCCCGAACTCTCTCCAGTAACTCCAGGTAAACACATTACACTGCAATAGAGAAAAAGAGTCCACTGGGATCTCTGACTTACGTAAAGCTCTTGATACACTGACCATGACTTCCCACATAAAATTGTCACACATGTATAAGAGGGCACTCCCTCAACTACCTAAGTCATACCTCACACAGAAGCCAATATGTGTACACAAATGGCAATCTCGCACACCATATAGTTGTGTCCCCCGGGAATTCCCTTGGCCTCTTCTCTTTCTCATATACATAATGACCTACCCAATGCACGCAACTACCAAACCCACCTTTTGCAGATGACCTACATACGTCTTCTCTCACCCGAGCCCGTCACTCTGCCAATACGTAAATACCCAATTACAGAAAATCTACCTGGGTGAGTATAACAACTTACTCTAAACATTGCAAAACCTACTTCTCAGTTTGGTAAAAGAGCTACAGACATCCCTCTTAACATAATGATAAATGGATCACCTATCACAAAACTCACAGAGGGAAAATTCTTAGGAATCCACCTTGATAATTGACTCAGATTTCAAACACATATACAACAAATTTCCAAGAAAATTTCCAAGACCGTAGGCATACTATCGAAGATACGGTACTATGTTCCACAGTCAGCCCTCCTGGCCCTATATCACTCACTTATTTACCCCTATCTCACCTATGGAATTTGTGCATGGGGCTCAACAACAATAAACCATCTCAGACCATTAATTACCCAACAAAAGACTGCAGTCAGAATGATAACAAATTCCCACTACAGGCAGCACACTCCACCAATATTCAAAACTCTAAACCTACTCACCATACAAAACATCCATACTTGTTACTGCACCTACTACATACATAGAACACTTAACTCTGATATAAACCCTCCCCTCAAACGTCTCCTTACCAACCTCAACAGAACGCATGACCATAACACAAGGCACAGATCACTCTTTGATGTTCCTCGTGTCCATCTCACGCTATGCAAAAACTCAATGCACATGAAAGGCCCTAAAATCTGGAATTCATTACCTGTTTACCTGGAGAGAGTTCCGGGGGTCAACGCCCCCGCGGCCCGGCCTGTGACCAGGCTTCCTGGTGGATTAGAGCTTGATCAACCAGGCTGTTACTGCTGGCTGCACGCAAACCAACGTACGAGCCACAGCCCGGCTGGTCAGGAACCGACTTTAGGTGCTTGTCCAGTGCCAGCTTGAAGACTGCCAGGGGTCTGTTGGTAATCCCCCTTATGTATGCTGGGAGGCAGTTGAACAGTCTCGGGCCCCCTGACACTTATTGTATGGTCTCTTAACGTGCTAGTGACACCCCTGCTTTTCATTGGGGGGATGTTGCATCGTCTGCCAAGTCTTTTGCTTTCGTAGTGAGTGATTTTCGTGTGCAAGTTCGGTACTAGTCCCTCTAGGATTTTCCAGGTGTATATAATCATGTATCTCTCCCGCCTGCGTTCCAGGGAATACAGGTTTAGGAACCTCAAACGCTCCCAGTAATTGAGGTGTTTTATCTCCGTTATGCGCGCCGTGAAGGTTCTCTGTACATTTTCTAGGTCAGCAATTTCACCTGCCTTGAAAGGTGCTGTTAGTGTGCAGCAATATTCCAGCCTAGATAGAACAAGTGACCTGAAGAGTGTCATCATGGGCTTGGCCTCCCTAGTTTTGAAGGTTCTCTGTTTATAAATTCAAGTCTCTTCTCAAAAATCACTTACTCACCCACATCTAAATAAATACTGAATAATTGTAGCTCATAAATTGTATCTCATAAATGTTTCTCATTATTGTATCTCATAAATGTCTAACCTGTGACCCACTCAAACTTTTTTTTTTTTTAAATACATTTCCTAACAGAATACTCCATTCTATTGAATGCACAGCAACACAGTAAATGACCATATGACCTGTCTTTGTAATACTCATTTGTGCTAAATTGTTATCTGTTTACAATAACGTTTTTACCACTGAATATATCATTGCTTAGTTAATCTTAAGTTAATTTTAAGCCTGCCCATAATGCTCTGCATACAAGGGGCTTTGGCATGTTGCACTGCAATAACTGTATTCGTTTGTAGTTCACTGTATCGTGTTCAAATAAATAAATAAATAAATAAATAAATAAAGACCAGGTGATAAGGCTGAGGAAAGAAGGTGGAGAACTCACAAGAAACGATCAAGAGGTATGTTATTATTATTATTATAATCAAGGGGGAAGCGCTAAACCCAGAGGATTATACAGCGCCTGGGGGGGGGGGATGTGGAAGGCATTCAGGCTTAATTTGGGAAACTGGAGCACAGATCCAATTCCCTAAATCAAGAGCCCCTCACCAACATCAAGGAACCTTCCTTGAGGGGACAAGAGGTATGTGAGAAGCTCAACATGAGATTTAAGGAAGTATTTACAGTGGAGACAGGAAGGCCTCTGGGGGGACAGACCAGATGGGGACACCAGCAAGGAATATACCAACAAGTGTTGGATGACATAAATACAAATGAGGAGGAGGTGAAGAAGCTGCTAAGGGACATCGATACCTCAAAGGCAATGGGACCGGACAACATCTCCCAGTGGATCCTCAGAGAGGGAGTGGATATGCTGTGTGTGCTACTCACCACAATCTTCAACACATCCCCGGAAACTGGGCAACTACCTGATGTATGGAAGACGGCAAATGTAGTTCCCATTTTAAAAAAAAAGAGACAGAAAAGAGGCACTAAACTATAGACCTGTGTCACTGACGTGTACAGTATGCAAAGTTATGGAGAAGATTATCAGGATGAGTGTGGTGGAGCACCTGGAACGGAACAAGAGTATAAACGCCAACCAGCATGGATTCATGGAAGGGAAATCCTGTGTCACAAACCTTCTGGAGTTTTATGATAAAGTAACAGAAGTAAGATGCGAGAGAGAGGGATGGGTTGATTGCATCTTCTTGGACTGCATGAAGGCCTTTGACACAGTTCCTCACAAGAGATTAGTGCAGAAACTAGAGGATCAGGCGCATATAACAGGAAGGGTACTGCAATGGATCAGAGAATACCTGACAGGGAGGCAACAACGAGTCAAGGTACGTAATGAGATATCACAGTGGGCACCTGTGACGAGCGGGGTCCCACAGGGGTCGGTCCTAGGACCAGTGCTATTTTTGGTATATGTGAACGACATGATTAAGTAAGTAAGTAAGTAAGTTTATTCAGGTATACACAAATACAGTTACATAGAATTATCATACATAGCAGCACATGCGTAGAGAACCTGGGATAGCCCAAAAAGTCAGACAGAGTGACTTATTTCCATTGAGGTCCTTTTACCTTATTATTATAATATAAAGATTATAATATTTTCTTATTATTCTATAATGAAGATAACATCTTATTATTATACTAAGAAGACTATCTACTACACGAGGGTCATTAAGACTCAACAATACGAGGGTCATTACTAGGAATAAGGTAAAATTTACTAGGAATAAGGTAAATTTTACCTTATTCCTAGTAATGACCCTCGTATTGTAGATAGTCTTACTGGAAGGGTTAGATTCAGAAGTGTCCCTGTTCGCAGACGATGTGAAGTTAATGAGGCAAATTAAATCAGATGAGGATCAGGCAGGACTTCAAAGAGACCTGGACAGACTGGACACCTGGTCCAGCAACTGGCTTCTCGAATTTAACCCCACCAAATGCAGTCATGAAGACAGGGGAAGGGCGCAGAAAACCGCAGACGGAGTATAGACTAGGTGGCCAAAGACTGCAACCTCGCTCAAGGAGAAAGATCTTGGAGTGAGTATAACACCAAGCCTGTCTCCGGAAGCACACATCAACCAGATAACTGCTGCAGCATATAGGCGCCTGGCAAACCTGAGAACAGTGTTCCGATACCTTAGCAAGGAATCGTTCAAGACTCTGTACACCGTGTACGTCAGGCCCATACTGGAGTATGCAGCACCTGTCTGGAACCCGCACTTGATCAAGGACGTCAAGAAATTAGAGAAATTGCAAAGGTTTGCGACAAGGTTAGTTCCAGAGCTAAGGGGAATGTCCTATAAGAAAGGTTAAGGGAAATCGGCCTGACGAGACTGGAGGACAGGAGGGTTAGGGGAGACATGATAACGACATATAAAATACTGCGTGGAATAGACAAGGTGGACAAAGACAGGATGTTTCAGGGAGGGGACACAGAAACAAGAGGTCACAGTTGGAAGTTGAAGACTCAGATGAGTCAAAGGGATGTTAGGAAGTATTTCTTCAGTCATAGAGTTGTTAGGCAGTGGAATAGCCAAGAAAGTGACGTAGTGGAGGCAGGAACTATACATAGTTTTAAGACGAGGTTTGATAAAGCTCATGGAGCAGGGAGAGAGAGAACCTAGTAGCAATCAGTGAAGAGGCGGGGCCAGGAGCTATGAATCGACCCCTGCAACCACAATTAGGTGAGTACAAATAGGTGAGTACACACACACACACGTGGTAATGCTTTATTTACAGCTAGCAAAGTCAGGGTATTTCTCCAGAATGGTCTGTAATATACCACTGTGGATAAAATTCTTTGCCATTTCTAGAACATTTCTGAATGAGTTGTCTCTAAATTCATTAAAGTAAGAATATCGCTAACATTAGCGGGTCGCTGGCACCAGCTGGGAGGTGTCTATGTTGACATAAACATCAGGGCGGCTGCTCATCCTTCACCAACTTTTTTTTTTTTTTTAAATCGCGACGAGTGCCAGGCAGGGAAGGAGCCATGGGTAATAGTGACAGTACTCTGGCTGTGCTGCAGGTGGACAGGGATAAAGGCAAGGTACGTTACTAACTTGTCAACACCTGTAATTACTCTCCCATCCACTCCAAGTGAGAAGTAACTTGGACTGTTGGGTTATCCTCGAATTTAATTAACTCTTATATAATGTATTATTTTGTATGCCTATACCTCTCAAGGGAGGTGTGCCTTGATGCTGGTGAGGGGCTCTTGATCCAAGGAATGGAAATATGCCACTGATTTTTTGGGTTATAGGTAATTTACGCAATGTATGATAATTGTACATGTGTGTACCAGTGCATAAATATACTTACTTAACCTCCCCTTCCTTGGATCAGACTTTTGTGAAAAATAAACTACTTTGACTTTTTTTATGGATTATACTAGGTAATTGACACTATGATAATTTATGTAAATCTGTTTATGTGTACCTGTACCTGAATGAACTTACCAGTCCAAAGATGGTGCTACATAGTATATGAATTACAGGTTTATAGCTTTTTGCAATGAAAATAAGTCACTTGACTTTTCTGTGTTATTCTATAATAATAATATCTTTATTTCTACAAGTACATGTACAAGGTATACAGTCCCAGCTGACATCACTGACATACTACTGTATAGAAAGCCCCTTGTTATGTAGAGAATTTTGGGCAAATTAGGTCAGTATTGTCACAGGATGCGACCCACACCAGTCCACTAACACCCAGGTACCCATTTTACTGATGGGTGAACATGAACAACAGGCATAAGGAAACACACCTAATATTTCCACCCTTGTTGGAATCGAACCACTGACCCTCAGCATGTAAAGCAAGAGCTTTGCCTACCAGGCCTCAGGCCTTGGGCCATCTTACATCTAGATAATTTACACTCATTTGTACTTCGTGTTGTAATTTGTTTACTGTATTTTTACCACTGAATACAGCATTGCTTAGTTAATCTTAAGCCTGCCCACAATGCTCTGCATACAAGGGGCTTTTGGCACGTACACTCATCCACTGTATTTCTTTTGTACAACTATGTATTATGTCCAAATAATAATAAATAAATAAATAAATAAATATGTATGATAATTGTACTTATGTGTACCTTTACCCAAATAAACTTACTAAAATGAAATCAAGATTGTGCCCACAACGTGTATGTGCCATGGCATGGTAGGCAACAATTTCACCTCACACTTGAGTGCCCATGGTTTTGATCCCCAGCAAGGGTGGAAACATTGAGAGTGTTGCCTTACACTTGTCCTGTCCACCTAGCAAGCAAGTAGGTACCTGGGTGTTAGTTGACTGGTGTGAGTGGCATCCTGGAGGGCAAGATTTAAGGACTTCAATGGAAGCAAGACATACAGTCCTCGATGATGCACTGAATTTCTTGGGTTATCTGGGGTGGCTAACCCTTCAGAGTTAAAAATCCAAACAAGATTTTAAGGTCATTGTGGAAAATTACAGTTATCTGAATGTATCATTATGTACATAACAGTAAATGGATAAAGATAATTATTATTTATCAGTTAGACAAGTAGGAATTTGGGACACCTAGGTCACAAAAAATGTCCCCCTTCGATACCTACCACTGTCATATCCACAAGTTGCTCTAGACCTATTAATTATAAATGAAATATAAATCACCAGGAATGCTGGTAAATATATTAATTTGTGGACTGTATATTAAAAGTAAAAAATGATTATATATATCTATACATATTTATATAACAGAAGGAGAATATATCTTAATCATAACACACACCAATTTGACTGGAGATTAATGTGTCATGTACAGGACTCCCCCTTTTGCCTACATTTATGAAAAATTTACTGGCCAGAATTTAAACATAAATTAGACAGCTTATCTGAGGTTCCTGGAGTTGTCCTGTCCTGTCGCCTGATACTCAAATTATGCAGGAATGCACATCCAACAATTTCATCTCCTATTTGAGAGGTGTCAGCCTAATTTTAACTTCTAGAGCACGAAAAATTCTTCCCAATATTCACTAACAGTTGACCAGTTCAAACAGCAATGGCGAGTGTCCTTTTGCGCAGGTACAGAAAATTTCCCATTTTTTATGGCATAAATATTATTAAAGTCAGTTCCGGATCAGCCGGGCTGTGGCTCGTACGTTGGTTTGCGTGCAGCCAGCAGCAACAGCCTGGTTGATCAGGCTCTGATCCACCAGGAGGCCTGGTCACAGACCGGGCCGCGGGGGGGTTGACCCCCGGAACTCTCTCCAGGTAAACTCCAGGTAAATACAGTATGGCCATCTATTTACATATAACTACTGTATTTCTGGAAAATATATACAGTATTTTCCACAGTCATTATAAAAGTTTTGTTTATGTATCCAATACCAAAACAAAAATTTGCTGCCTTACATCATTTCCCATTCCTCAGGCACTGTATGATCCCAACTGATTTATCACTTCCCATAAATATAATTGCACACTCACTCGCTGCTGTGGGAAGACTCGATATAGAAAGGGATGTTGACTTTATTGGACCCTAAAGAGAGGTTTCTTGATTCAGGTGTGGGGCTCTTGATGCAAGGAATGGACCTGTCCTCCCCTTCCTTAGATTGAACCTTGTTGTCTCCCACGTCCCTAAGTGTTGTGTAACCCCTATGGATTTAGTGCTTCCCCCCTGAATATATAATAATAATACTGGGTTAAGATACAGTGGAACCTTGTTTTTCGGCTGCTGCATTTATCGGCCGATTCGTGTTTAGGCCGGTTTTTTGGCGGAAATTTTGCTCTGTATTTTTGCTGTTGCCTCATATATTGGCTGTATTAGACGTGTCAGCCCGCCTCCCGCTGGGACACCATGCATAGGTGAGTTGGTCTCCCTTTGTCTGTTGGTGAGTGAGCATATACTCTTCACATTCATCCAAACATTTCCGTAAAATCTATTGTTTTTGGTGTTTTTTTTATTAAGTGCGACTGTGAAATAAGTCGCCATGGGCCCCAGGAAAGATCCTAGTAAAGTTCCTTTGGTAAAGAAAGTGAGAAACATGATGCAATTTAAGAAGGAAGTAATAGAAAAATAGGAGAGTGGTGTGCGGTTGCTGGAACTTGACAAATCAAATCAACAATCACTTCTATCCTGGCAAAGAATGAACAAATCAAGGAAGCTGATGTGGTGAAAGGGGTAAACATGTTAATGAAAAAGAGATCACAAACAAATGAAGACATAGAGAAGTTGTTGTTGTGGATCAGGGAAAAACAGTTAGTGGGAGATAGTGTTTCAGAGACGATCATTTGTGAAAAGGCAAGGCAGTTGCATGCGGATCTTGACAGAATATTATTCAATATTACGCTAATATTAAAATTAAAATTAAATTAAAATTCTTTATTTCTCTGTTAATATTACAGTGTGGAGTTTGCATATTACGTATAAGATATTATTACATATTATAAAATACTTATTACAAAGAAGGCCACTAATATGTCTAGGTATACCTAGACAGTTCAGGCAGACTAATACTAGTTCTTACTCTATATTGACACAGGATATGAATCATACTGGTATTAAGGTTAGGTAATTGTAGTGATTAACTAGATTTACAAAATTGAGGTAGTTAAAAATGTTTAAGAACTTACCAATTAATTTATCTATTAATGGAAATGGTCTCGATTTGGTATGATACAGTTTCTATATTGGAGTGTCTTAGGCAAACTTATGAGTAGCTTAAGAATTATGATGCAGTAGCTGTATTCAGAATTTTATGTTTACAGTGATGTGTAAATTAGGGGGAGTCACAGATATTAATAGGTGTATCAACTCTACGGCTTATTTATCTATCACAGTTGATCTAATATGACATAATAAATAATATAAACAACATAGAAACATGGTATGTACTCTAGAATGAATAAAATATGTCATTATATGGCGAGCGGTTGCTGTCACTCCCGCAGTAAAGTAATTATCCCTCAAACCATAGCTTTCCACGCTTCCCCTTCTGAGATATAAGAGAAAACAGAGTTTTGGAGAGGCTAACTACACTAGATCACTAGTGCAGTAAGAAAAACGTTGAAACAAACACGATTTTCTTGGAAAAATTGCCAAAGAGGACCTACATCACACAGGAGGAAAAGGCACTGCTAAGACACAAGCCTATGAAAGACAGGCTTACCAAAGCCCCAGAGAGGGCTTTCATACCTGAAGTCTTTATGGAGGGGGATTTCCCTTCCAAAAAATAATCAGTCTTCCCTCTGTCCTTTCCCTGTCTTCCATAAGCCAACAAGAGTCTTCAATAAAGGTATGTAATAGTGATTTAAATGTTCATTTATTTATTTTATTTAGTTCTCATTGTATTGTGTGTGTAAAACTGTAATTAATCTTTAAAAAATGTATTTTTTGTTAATATTTTGGGTGTCTGGAACGGATTAATGTATTTACATTAATTCTTATGGGAATTATTGCTTCAAACTTAGGCCGACTTTCCGGAATGGATTACAGCTGAAAAACGAGGTTCCACTGTATACTTTAAAAAGACCCTTCAGTAGAAATGCCTTGAAGCCAGTGAAGAGTTCTTGATCCAGGGAATTGGACTGAGTCTCCAGTTGGACTGTCTCTCATCACCCAAACACACCATAATTGCCTACAGGTTTAGCAGTTCTCTATAAATCTTATTTTATTCCTCGTTGTGCTTTTATTATGTAAATTCTCCAGTATTCAGCACATTGTACAATTAATGTATGTACATGCAGTGGCTATGGAAAAATACCTTTTTGTTTATATAACTTAACCTAATGTTACCCAACCTAAGGCTAACTGACAGTTTTTCACCTGGTCTAGATTTGGTTAGGTTATGTTAGGTTTGGATGGGTTGTGTTGGGTTATGTTATTAAATTTACTTATCAAAATAAAGCTATTTTCCCATTTGTCCAAAATATAAATTTCTATTATTACCTAAATAAACAGTGTCCACAACAAATAACTGTTTTTCCCATGGAATGGATAACATGGATATTATTTATAATATTAAAGATAAGCATATTTCTGTCCACCTGAAAAAAGTAAGCTATGACCATTTACAGTTTATTTTCATAATTGTTCCAGAGGACTAGTAACCCAGGATAGCTAAAGAAAGTCACTAATTCTGGCTTATACTACTGTCTAAAGTGTTTGGAGATTTGTCTGGATAATGTTCATCATACTTAATTAGTTTCTAGAGATTGTTAAATATATATGCTAAATAGTGGCTATAGCAATAACAGGTTGAGAGAGATGAGCGAACAAACACCTGGATATATTTACATATTTAGAAAACTTTTCAGTCTTGGGACCTTGATCTCATCTAGAAGTGGTCAGTGTTAGACCTGAAACTTGTTTTAACTGAACATGTTCTAGTTTTTGCTCAGATGATTCCTAGCTACTTGTTAGTGTCCATTACCAAGGTTTTATCATACAACCACAAGACTTGTATGATAAAATGTTAATAATTATGAAAGTTCCTCTATTGCAGAAGGTGCCTCCTCAAGAAGTATGATTACATCACATTTCATATTACCCTTCATCTGTAGCATTCCCTCTTATTATTATTCTTTCTCTTTCTTTCAACACACCGGCCGTATCCCACCAAAGCAGGGTGGCCCAAAAAGAAAAACGAAAGTTTCTCTTAAATTTAGTAATTTATACGGGAGAAGGGGTTACTAGCCCCTTGCTCCCGGCATTTTAGTCACCTCTTACAACACGCATGGCTTACGGAGGAAGAATTCTGTTCCGCTTCCTCATGGAGAATTATTATTATTATTATTATTATTATTATTATTCACAGGTGTATGAAGACTGGATGATGGCCCCTGGGGATTTGGATGGTGTCCCAGTAACAGTATCTCTGCTGCTCATCCTGCATCATCTCGCAAGAGACCTTATATTGAGAGAGCTTTACAGGTTTGATAAAAAAAAAATACAATTTTTTTTATTTGTGTTGTATGGGTCACAGGCAAGCCTTGTTTATTATTTTGAGTCAGTTACCTACCAAATGCCTGCAGCAGGTTTCGAGGGTTCTTTTCCCTTCACTGCCAAGCCTGAGTCCAGGCTTCCTTGTTGACTACCTGGTCATCTAGGTTATTGCTGCTAGTGGTGTACAGGCCTACATAGCCATCAGGCACTTGTAGAAGGAAGTGGTCTAGTTTGTTAGCCCTTTCATTGTCCAGACCCCCAAAATTAATATTACTCCTTGTGTCCACTGAAATGGTAGAGAATCTTTTTTCTGAATGTAATGACACCAAAAGTATGATATTTGATGGAGAATTTAAGGCATTATGCAGGTGCAAAGTTAGTGATCTGTGCCCTATTTTTACACATCGGTGATTTCTCCAATTTTGAATCCCATTTAAGTTAATTCCATTCTCCCTTTCAACTAGATTCTTAACTGTTTTGCTACTATTCCTTCTGTTTTGTCAACTGAGCACATGAAACCACCCATTCAACTATTACAACTACTATATAAAGTGCACTGACCAACCGGGCTGTGGTTCGTACGTCAGCTTGTGTGTGGCCAGCAGTAACAGCCTGGTTGATCAGACTCTGATCCACCACGAGGCCTGGTCTCAGACCGGGCCGCGGGGTCGTTGACCCCCAAAACCCTCTCCAGGTAAACCCCAGGTAAGATTTAAAGAATTCCAATGTAAAAATAGAATGCAAAATGAATAATATAGACATTCCTGGCACTAAAACAACAAATTCTCTGTTCATTTATCAATAATGTCCCAGGCCTTTTCTTTATTGCACTTGCCATCCATTTTGAATTCATAATCACTCAAAAATAGAAATATTGCCAGAACAAGTGTAGAAGTTTTCGAAAGGTAACTGAATCATAATCTCTGCCAGGTGCCAGATCAAGTAAGCTGTAAGGGATTTGAGAGTAAGTGGACTGCTAACAGCAACAGCCTGGTTGACCAGGTGGGCAACAGGAAAGCCTGGTGTCAGGCCAGACTGTGAGAATAGGAAGACTTTGGAAACTGGTCACAGGCAAATTGACATTTACACAGCCCTTTTATAAGTAGGATAAACCTGTGGTGAAAATTTGAAGCTCAGCAGAAAAGGCTTTCTAAATTTACTGCATCAGAATAAAATTTAAGAATGGCCTAAATAAAACTGAATAGAGGGCTCCTGTACATGTCAATAGATACATGAGCCTTTTCCTGGTTACAATACACTAGCTTTGAAAATTTGAAGCCAATTGGATGAAGTGTTCTCCAGTTATAAGTGAAAACCTTGAAAAAAGAAAGAGTCAGGCAGCCACCTAGATGTATCCTATCAGGGGTACCTAATAATGTTAGATGACCTGACATTTAGAGTGCACAATGAAGTGTATATAAATCCTTGGCCAGAAAATTGTAAGATGGATTGTGGGAACCTTCATAAGCACTCCACTGATGATCCTTTCTAGGGACTTGTGCTCTCACTTGCAGAATACTACTTTCTTTGTTCACATCTCCATTTAAGGCAGGTGAGCTAGGCAGTCTAGAAAATATAGATGATTTTTTTACCCCTCACAAAATTGCTAAATCATCTAAGCTACTGGGATAGTCTCACACTTGGGATTGGATCCCACTGATATATGTATCACTTAATTTATAGAATATTGTACAGTATAGGACCCCTGTATCCATGGAGCATGTGTTCCAAGGACCTGCCATCTGTACCGAAACCGCGGATAGTAGCAAACCCTATATGTATGTCCTATCACTTTTTTCAGTGATGGGAAGCACTTTATGGCTTCATCTTAGGCTTTGAAGAACTGCCAGCTTCTCTACTTTTCTGCTTTGGGGCTATTATTATGCAAAATTAAGATAACTGAAATCGCAGTGGATATGGAGGTTCTACTGTATATGAAAATTAAAGGTCAGGATCCTGTCTGTACTTTTATTTATAGAACTTCTGCAGTGAGAGGAAAGGATGTGCAGAATAATAAATATTATATAAATTAGGGATGCAGTAATAAAACTAGAGAAAAACTGTCAGAATGTGAGGTTCATAACTCTTCAATACTTTACTGCATTGTACAAACAAATATGGTATAAGAAATGTTACCAGAACAAAGGTGTAAATTTTCAAGAGGGAATTAATCAAACTGTGTTAGCCCCGTTAATTAGATTGTGATGGCTATATGGGACTGTGGGTCATACTGGGTTGCGAATGTAGAAAGGCTCAAAAGCAGTTGTATGTAAACTTTTTGCATTTAAAGAATTAAAGATGTTTACCAGGAGTTTACCTGGAGAGAGTTTAGGGGGTCAACACCCCCGTGGCCCTGTCTGAGACCAGGCCTCATGGTGGATCAGGGTCTGATCAACTAGGCTGTCACTGCTGGCCGCATGCAAGCTGACGTACGAACCACAGCCCGGTTGGTCAGGTACTGACTTTAGGTGCCTGTCCAGTGCCTTCTTGAAGACAACCAGGGGTCTATTGGTAATTCCCCTTATGTATGCTGGGAGGCAATTGAACAGTCTTGGGCCCCTGACACTTATTGTGTTGTCTCTCAGTGTGCTTTTGGCACCCCTGCTTTTCATCGGGTTCAAGTATTTATACTGTACTTTTAATTTTAAAAATTTTCAGGCCAGCAGAGTATATCGACATCCAGGCCTGTTGAAGTACTTGGACGGGGGTGTGATCAATGGGGAGGTGGTTGTGGTGATGGAGAGAGCCACCTCACTGCTACACCATGATCTGGAGCACTTCTCTCCACTTCACATATCAGCAGGGCTTTTGTCTATTATTGATACTTTAGCCTTTCTCCATGACAGGGTAAGACTAGAGTTCTGTTTACAGTTCTTAGAGCTTTATTGCTGTTTGTATATTGTGTTCTTTTTAGTGTAAATGGCATTCTTACCTGATTATATTATATTTTCCATTTCAGGCAGGCGTAAGTCACAACAATGTAAGCACTGCCAGCATTTTTGTCACCCCTGATGGAGCATGGAAGCTGTGGGGCCTTGAGTACTCATGCAGGTATAGTGTTTTGATGGAAGCTTTAGATTTGGTGTTGAGTGTATATGTAAGATTTTTGATGAGTGGCTGATCTCCAATGCTAATGGAATTATTTTCATTTAGGAAATAACACAAAACTTATTTTCCCTTTATGGTAATTTTCTTTGTCACTACCACTTAACATATTTCATGCATTCAAATTCTCATCACTGGTAACTAAAGATTGTCCATTTTTTTCTTTTTTTTCTTTTTTCATATTCTTACTTTTTACCACTTGTTTATGGTTCCTTCTTTTCAAACTTGATTATTTTCAGTATCAGGAAGTAATTATAATGGTACCTTGACTTACGAATGCCCCAACTTACGAGTTTTCCGAGTTATGAGCCATCGCTCGGTTGATTTTTTGCTTTGAGTTGCGAGCCAAAATCCAAGTTATGAGTGAGCTTCAGATATGCTGCCACTCGCAGGAGAGAGGAAATACCAGAAACCTTGATAATAGCCAATGTGTAACATCCTTTCAATTTTGATATCACTGGTAGTGTCATCCTGTCAGAATGTTATATAACATATTCCCTAAGTAAAGAGAAACAATTCTGGAATGTGTAATACATGTTCGGCAGGCCAGCAGGTTGGGTGGCCGGCTGGCTGGTTGGCTGGTTGGCTGGCTGATTTGCTTTGGCTGTCTCTATCTCCTTCTGTCTGTCTGTATCTATCTCTGCCTTTCTCTATCTGTGTGTCTGTGTGTCTATTTCTGTTTCTGTCTATCTCTCTCTGTCTCTGTCTCACATGTACACATAAATACGTACAGTTATACATAGTGTAAATTACCTAGGATAACCCAAAAAATCTAGACAAAGTGCTATACTATGCTTGTAGATATATAGGCATAATAAGCATGACTGGCAAGTAATACACATTTTCACTTGTTCAGGAATCAGACATGGCCGACTCTGTATCGTGTGTAATACCTGTTGGTTCACGAGCAGCTCTCTCTCTCTCTGAGAGAGAGAGAGACAAGTAGAGAGACAGGAAGACAGAAACACAGGCAGACAGAAAGACCGACAAGCAGAGACAGATAAACATAGACAGAGCTAGACAGAAACAGACAGACCTGTTTATTTGTAACAGTGAAAAATGAAGCCAAGGCAGTGCATGCTCATCAAATGTCACTCCATGAGTGACACTCCACTGGCAGTGGAGTGTCACTCCATCGGCAGTGGAGTGATACTCATCTTACACCGTGCTTTAAGGAGTTTCATATATACTCCAGCATTTCTGAAACTGTTGGGACCTGGTGAAAAAGGCAAAAATCATTTCTGATTTATAAATACTGTACATTCTTCTATTTATAAACCTGTAACAAAATAATTGGGTTGATTTTTTGGAGTCTGGAACAGATTAATGGCATTTCAATTAATTTCAATGAGGAAAATTTATTTGATATACGAGCTCGGTCACGGAACAAATTAAACTCATAAGTCAAGGTACCTCTGTACTGCTTCACTTACTGAAAGGGAATATTCTCATTGATGGTTTTTCCTCTTCCTATATTCACATTACAATGCCACTTGACAGTCCACATTTTCTTTTTCTTATTTTCTTGTCCCTGTACAATGGAACCTTTGGTTTCAGCCGTAATCATTCAAGAAGCTCGGCCGAAATTCAAATTGTTCGAAAGTCAGAGCAATATTTCCCATAAGAAATAATGTAAATCCAATTAATCCATACCAGACACCCAAAAATATTCACAAAAATTAATTTTTTAAAGAATAAACATAGTTTTAAATACAGAAAGCAATGAGAAATAAATATAAACATTACATACCTTTACTGAAGACTCTTGTTGGCTTGTGGAAGACAGGGAGGAGGAGAATTTGGAGAAAAGACAAGATACTCCTTCAATATGATGCTAATATCAACTCTACGGCTTATTTATCTATCACAATTGATCTAATATGACATAATAAACAATATTAATAACATAGAAATGTGATATATACTCTAGAATGAATAAAATGTGTCATTATGTATGTCATGAGTGGTGGTGGTGGTGTTGGGTTATCAGGGCCACTGACAGCATAAGCCGTATAGTGGTGGTGGCGGTGGCGGTGGCGGTGGCATTGTTTCCAGTGGCCTTGTATACCTCCAATAACATTAGAGGAGTTAGTTTCGTGTCCATTTTCTATTGCTTAATCGCTTAACTTGCTACACTGTTAATGCTCCACTTTATTGGTAGCTGGCGCTATATCCTTTATCGACTCCTGCTGCTTTAGTATTGTATATATTGTAGAATCACTGAAGAAGGCACATTCTCCCCTCTCTCTTCCTCCTCCACTTTAGTACTTTGCTACAATTTCTTTCTTCAATTCTGTCGTGTTTCTCACTTTCTTTACCAAAGGATTGGCACTAGGAAGTTTCTTTGGGCCCATGGTTAATTATGTAGCAGTCGCACTTAATCAACAAGCACAAAAACAATGGATTATTGTGAAATATTTGGATGAAAGCGCAGAGTAATGTTCACTCGAGGAGAAACAAAGCTAGACTGACTCACAACACGTGTGTGGGATGCTTTTCGTGGGCGCGGACAGGTCTGGTATGGCGGCCTAAACTCTAGGTACTGTTTGAAACTCAAGACAAAATTTAGCCAAAAAAAAGTGACTGAAACTCAAAACTGCCAAAACTTGGGGTGGCCGAAACTCGAGGTTCCACTGTATCTTATTTTATCTCTTCCCATATAAAGTTGTGTGTGCTTGGTGAGGGTAATTCTCATTTTCTTCACACAATCTCAGTGCAAGCAAATTTAGCTTCACTTAATAGTTAACCCAGCATGTTCTTTAATAGATTTTTAATATGCTCATTTCAACTTGAAAACATTTGCATGTCTTAATAATGATGGTCAGTACACTGATGGTTTAGCCATTAAAATCATAGAAAATAAATCTAGAGCAACAAGGATGCCATACTTCATATAGGGCTGTGGGGGTAGAAGATCCCTTGAAACTAGTTACAAGTAAATCACATGTAGTTAGATAGGCAGATGCATTTGTACTCGGACCAATTTATATTATTGTATTTTGTAAGAACTTATATAAGAAAGCAACAGTCTTTCTTCCTTATGCATTGCATTGCATTTTTCTGTTTGCAAGATAGTCATGTCTTTTTTAACATTAAACATTGCTGTTATGTAATTGTTTACTGTAAATAAAAATGGTGCACTTTCTCCCATTGATATTTCACTGTAGTCACATACACTGCATCATGCTGCATCACACTATTTCAGTGACCTATTATTTCGGTCACTCAAAACAACTCGTTCATTATCTTTGCTTAACTTTTCTCTGCGTATTTCTATTACATATTTATATTTTTACACATTGGAGGGTTCTACAGAGGTCTGCTTTAGCTCATTTTAAAGCCAAGCTCTACCAATATCTTCTATTGTTAATGTATAGGTGTGTATCTTACTTAATAACATACATTTAGGAAACAAATTATAAGCTTGATCTGGATGTGGGTCAGCTTTCATTCAGTAAGTTCATTTGATGTTTTGAATGTCCACACGTTGTGAGAATCTGCTCTGAAAACACATAATTAGTGAAATGAATGATTGGTGTTGTAACTGCTAATGGATGTCTGTCATCTTGCTGTGTAATAGCTGTTTTCTGGCACTCCTTAAAGTTGGTGCAGGTGGCAACTCATCAGAGCATTAGGAGCATTGAGGGGATAAAACACCTCAATTACTGGGAGCGCTTGAGGTACCTAAACCTGTATTCCCTGGAACGCAGGCGGGAGAGATACATGATTATATGCACCTGGAAAATCCTAGAGGGACTAGTACCGAACTTGCACACGAAAATCACTCACTATGAAAGCAAAAGACTTGGCAGATGATGCAACATCCCCCCAATGAAAAGCAGGGGTGTCACTAGCACGTTAAGAGACCATACAATAAGTGTCAGGGGCCCGAGACTGTTCAACTGCCTCCCAGCATACATAAGGGGGATTACCAACAGACCCCTGGCAGTCTTCAAGCTGGCACTGGACAAGCACCTAAAGTCGGTTCCTGACCAGCCGGGCTGTGGCTCGTACGTTGGTTTGCGTGCAGCCAGCAGTAACAGCCTGGATGATCAGGCTCTGATCCACCAGGAGGCCTGGTCACAGACTGGGCCGCGGGGGCGTTGACCCCCGGAACTCTCTCCAGGTAAACTCCAGGTATACATAGATGCTCCTCACCTTACGATGGGGTTTACAGCCTGAGGAACCCATCTTAAGTTGAAAATATAAGTCGAATATGAATTTTTTCTTTTCAACATGTCGGCCGTCTCCTACTGAGGTAGGGTGACCCAAAAAGAAAGAAAATCCCCAAAAAGAAAATACTTTCATCAACATTCAATACTTTCTCCTCAGTCGCACATAATCACTGTCTTTTCAGAGGTGCTCAGATATGACAGTTTAGAAGTCCCTCCAAACTGTCAATATCCCAAATCCCTCCTTTAAAGTGCAAGCATTATACTTCCCATTTCCATTTCCAAGACTCAAATCTGGCCAACTGGTTTCCCTAAATCCCTCCACTAAATATTACCCTGCTCACACTCCAACATCTCGTCAGGTCCCAAAAAACATTCGTCTCCATTCACTCCTATCTAACATGCTCACGCACGCTTGCTGGAAGTCCAAGCCCCTCACCCACAAAACCTCCTTTACCCCCTCCCTCCAACCTTTTTGAGGATGACCCCTACCCCTTCTTCCTTCCCCTACAGATTTATACACTCTCCAAGTCATTCTACTTTGATCCATTCTCTCTAAATGACCAAACCATCTCAACAACCCCTCTTGAGCCCTCTGACTAATGCTTTTAGTAACTCCACACCTCTTCCTAATTTCCACACTCCGAATTCTCTCCATAATATTTACACCACAATATTGTCACTGAGTAGGTAAATAAACAAATAATCACTGTAACTAACTAAATACTGTACCATTTTTAAAATGTTAATAAATCCTTTACATCAAGATGTGGGTCACCGAGATGTTGTGGATGTCCTGGAGCAATATCTAAAATAAGGAAAATCTTGAAGGGTATGTTGTTTTGATGACAGTATTCTTTCACCTAGTGAATAAAACAGTTCAAAAGCCATATTGCATATTGCTAGCCAAGGAACAGATTAAAATTTAAAGTTTGATGACTGCTGAATGTGCATTGCCATCACACCATCATAAAGTTGATACTATTTGGGAAACTGAGCCATCATAAAGCAAGGAGTACCTGTCACCATCACCTCGGGTATTGAAGGGTTTGCTGAATGACAGGTCCATCTAGGCTGGATCAAGGCCAGAGAAGAGTTTCTTTGCACTGTCTTCTACCTTGCACAGATTTTGAAGATGGAATGAAAGATAAGCAATAAAAGAGAGTGGTGGATACTCAGCGTGAAAGCAAACTGATGTATTGTATAGTATTCCATAGTTTTGCAGCCTATGTTGTTCATCAAGTCTGAGATGTGCCATTGCATTGCTATTTCCTTTGTTGCAGTGCTTACAATATTTATGACATGGTCATTAGTTATTGTAGCCTAATTTCTCGCTGAGAATATCAATTTCACTTCTGCTTATTTTTACACCAACTCAAGTAGAACCATTTTTTGCACGTTGGCTGGTATAAACCTAGCCTTTCTTTATGCTCGTCAAAACCAACCCACAAATTGAGGACAGAATTGAATGATGCCTTGATTCATCTTGGACTATTATTAAGTCATGAGTGATATAATGGCCCAAGATGGACCAAAATGTTATTCAGTTTCATGTCCAATTTGTGGGTTATTTGTAAATTGTATCAGTCACAGTTGTGATGAATGGTTTGAAAAACCGACATGTTGAAGATTGAGACACTTATGCAGCATATGGGAATCTTTATTCAGGAAACGTTTCGCCACGCAGTGGCTTCATCAGTCCAATACAAAGAGGAAGGCGTAAGGAGAGGAGGAGAATGAGGTAATCAGTCCCTCAACCTGGAGTCGATGTGTTCAGTCCATCAATCTTGTAGAATGTACAGAATAGGGCCGTAGACGTGGCTTATATACTGTAGTGAGGTGACGTGAAGCAGTTGGAGGCGGGGTCATAGTGGTACCATCCACTAGTCGAAGTAGGTCTTCGTCCAAAGGTTGAACAAGTGTTGAAGAATTCTTTGTAACAAGATCCCATGATGCTGCTGTGTCTGACAGTTGTGATGAATGGTTTGAAAAACCGACATGTTGAAGATTGAGACACTTATGCAGCATATGGGAATCTTTATTCAGGAAACGTTTCGCCACGCAGTGGCTTCATCAGTCCAATACAAAGAGGAAGGCGTAAGGAGAGGAGGAGAATGAGGTAATCAGTCCCTCAACCTGGAGTCGATGTGTTCAGTCCATCAATCTTGTAGAATGTACAGAATAGGGCCGTAGACGTGGCTTATATACTGTAGTGAGGTGACGTGAAGCAGTTGGAGGCGGGGTCATAGTGGTACCATCCACTAGTCGAAGTAGGTCTTCGTCCAAAGGTTGAACAAGTGTTGAAGAATTCTTTGTAACAAGATCCCATGATGCTGCTGTGTCTGACAGTTGTGATGAATGGTTTGAAAAACCGACATGTTGAAGATTGAGACACTTATGCAGCATATGGGAATCTTTATTCAGGAAACGTTTTGCCACGCAGTGGCTTCATCAGTCCAATACAAAGAGGAAGGCGTAAGGAGAGGAGGAGAATGAGGTAATCAGTCCCTCAACCTGGAGTCGATGTGTTCAGTCCATCAATCTTGTAGAATGTACTGTCAGACACAGCAGCATCATGGGATCTTGTTACAAAGAATTCTTCAACACTTGTTCAACCTTTGGACGAAGACCTACTTCGACTAGTGGATGGTACCACTATGACCCCGCCTCCAACTGCTTCACGTCACCTCACTACAGTATATAAGCCACGTCTACGGCCCTATTCTGTACATTCTACAAGATTGATGGACTGAACACATCGACTCCAGGTTGAGGGACTGATTACCTCATTCTCCTCCTCTCCTTACGCCTTCCTCTTTGTATTGGACTGATGAAGCCACTGCGTGGCGAAACGTTTCCTGAATAAAGATTCCCATATGCTGCATAAGTGTCTCAATCTTCAACATGTCGGTTTTTCAAACCATTCATCACAACTGTCAGACACAGCAGCATCATGGGATCTTGTTACAAAGAATTCTTCAACACTTGTTCAACCTTTGGACGAAGACCTACTTCGACTAGTGGATGGTACCACTATGACCCCGCCTCCAACTGCTTCACGTCACCTCACTACAGTATATAAGCCACGTCTACGGCCCTATTCTGTACATTCTACAAGATTGATGGACTGAACACATCGACTCCAGGTTGAGGGACTGATTACCTCATTCTCCTCCTCTCCTTACGCCTTCCTCTTTGTATTGGACTGATGAAGCCACTGCGTGGCGAAACGTTTCCTGAATAAAGATTCCCATATGCTGCATAAGTGTCTCAATCTTCAACATGTCGGTTTTTCAAACCATTCATCACAACTGTCAGACACAGCAGCATCATGGGATCTTGTTACAAAGAATTCTTCAACACTTGTTCAACCTTTGGACGAAGACCTACTTCGACTAGTGGATGGTACCACTATGACCCCGCCTCCAACTGCTTCACGTCACCTCACTACAGTATATAAGCCACGTCTACGGCCCTATTCTGTACATTCTACAAGATTGATGGACTGAACACATCGACTCCAGGTTGAGGGACTGATTACCTCATTCTCCTCCTCTCCTTACGCCTTCCTCTTTGTATTGGACTGATGAAGCCACTGCGTGGCGAAACGTTTCCTGAATAAAGATTCCCATATGCTGCATAAGTGTCTCAATCTTCATCAGTCACAGTATTGTGATTTTTATTCTTCTACTCTTTATTTCTTAGTGTGAATAATTGGTGGCTGGTTTACTTATGTGATGGCCAAAAGTGGCTTGATAGAATTTTAGGAAATATTTCAGATTTTCCTTCAGAAAGTCTAAAGAACATAAATAAACATTATGTGATATTGTTATGCTGAGTATCTTACAATTTTCTATATTTTTCAGTTTTGGAGAGCTGACACGTGATCATATTGAACACATAAATAGCTACTGTCATGAGAAATCTATCCCACCAGATGACAAATCTCGAATTTCTCCAGCATATCAGCATGCTAGAGACTCCTATGCTTTTGCTCGTCTTGTTGAAGATATTCTAACTCCAGAAACTGTGTCAGGTTAGTGCTGAAGTAGAGGAATTGATGAATATTTTGTTATTTAACTGTTTATGTGTTTTATACTTGTTACACAGTATATATCTGATAAGGGGGACTTTATGAGGTTAGCATGTATGTCTTAATGTTTTTACACAGTTTATGGGTGGTATCTTGAGAATATATCTTTGCCTAAACTTTAAGCTTGCCTCACTTTTATACTTTATGTTCATAAACAAAGTTTTCTATAGAAGTGAGATAGTACAGTTCCCTGTTGGTTATTTTGGTGATTATTTTTTTGTTTTGTGTATCAGGGGGTTTGCCTCTACTTACTGGAGTAGTGACAAATAAAACAAGAGATACCTCTTTCTTGCTATACACATTCCCTAAATACAGAGGTGCTGGATATTCTTGGCTGAAACTGTAAGGCCCATAAATAATTTTGTTTGAGGGTTTAGATATTATTATGCTGATGCTGTCTTAAAATAGTTGTAACATAATCACTTCAAATATGGCATATAAATATCATATAGTTCTGTTATGCTCATCTCAAAACTACAATTATCCTTGTGTTCCATAGGCATCTGCAATAGTAATAAAAATAATTATGGAAAAATATGGTGATAGTGATTGTGAGAAGTACAGTGCCTGCACTTGAAGGAGAAGTGGGGATGTTGAAATTCAGAGGATGATTTGAATTCTGATGTCTGTGCACTTCTGGTAAGACAGCTACTGAATGAATGAAGGTGAATGGGTATCCCTTTTTTAGTTCACCCTCCCTAAGTGGTAAATGACTAGTGTATTAAAATAATTTTAAGTAAACAATTGTAGTAAGAGTGCACTAAAATAAAGCAGCTATATAAAGAATAGAAATATGTAATGTAGAGGATAATTCTTTTTTCAACAAACCGGCTGTATCCCACCGAGGCGGGGTGGCCCAAAAAGAAAAACGAAAGTTTCTCTTTTTAAATTTAGTAATTTATACAGGAGAAGGGGTTACTAGCCCCTTGCTTCTGGCATTTTAGTCGCCTCTTACAACACGCATAGCTTACGGAGGAAGAATTCTGTTCCACTTCCCCATGAGATAAGAGGAAATAAACAAGAACAAGAACTAGTAAGAAAATAGAAGAAAACCCAGAAGGGTGTGTAGATATATGCTTGTACATGTATGTGTAGTGTGACCTAAGTGTAAGTAGAAGTAGCAAGATGTACCTGAAATCTTGCATGTTTATGAGACAGAAAAAAGGACACCAGAAATCCTACCATCATGTGAAACAATTACAGGCTTTCGTTTTACACTCACTTAGCAGGACTGTAGTACCTCCCTGGGTGTTTGCTGTTTACCAACCTACTACCTATGTAGAGGATAATATACAAGAAAAAATTATATAGAAAGAACATGTAATACTGCATACAAAACGTTGGGATAATATTCAGTACACAAAATTGGGTATATGAACAGGATAAGTGTGGTGCATTTATATGAAACAGTATATTACTTAACAGTTTTTGTCTTATCTTTAGCAAGCTGTACAGGAAAAGGGGGTTACTAGCCCATTGCTCCCGGCATTTTAGTTGACTTTTACGACATGCATGGCTTATGGAGGAAGAATTCTTATTCTACTTCCTTTCCAAAAAATAATAAGAACAAGAACTGTTAAGATAGTCAAAGAAAACTCAAGTAAGTGTCTATACATAAATGTGTACATGCATGTGTAGTGTGACCTAAGTGTAAGTAAAAGTAGTAAGATATACCTGTTGTGTGTTTGAGACAGAAAAAACACACCAGCAATCCTACCATCATGTAAAACAAATATAGGTTTCTGTCTCAAACTCATTTGGTAGGACAGTAGTACCTCCCTGGGTGGTTGCTGTCTACCAGCCTACTGGAAGTGGGAAGTACAATGCCTGCACTTTAAAGGAGGGGTTTGGGATATTGGCTGTTTGGAATGATACCTAAACTATCATATCTGAGTGCCTCTGCAAAGACAGTGATTATGTGTGAATGATGGTGAAAGTGTTGAATGATGATGAAAGTTTTTTTCTTTCTTTTTGGGTTTTCTTTCTTTTTGGGTCACCTGCCTCAGTGGGAAACGGCCAATGTATTTAAAAAAAAAAAAAGCACTTATCTGCACAAAATGCAACTGAAAAGTTTTACCATAGAAAAAATGGACATGGATTCCTTTGCAACAAATAGGCTAGAAATGCATAGGAGACTTTCACAAGCACCTTAGTGTCTCTCTGGTCTTTACAGATTATTCATGTTTTTTAACTGGGTTGTCAATCATTTTGTTTACATGTGCACTATGGATGTAAGTGTGATGTTATACCATTAGTAGGCCAGTGTTTTCACATTATTCACATTAACATGGTTATCAACAACCAGTTCTATTGCTATATTCCTTTACTCTGGACTCTGTGACTGTGAAAGGGTTGTGACTCCACAGAATGGTGACTTTCCAAACTTGGAAATTGGAACAGATGTTTTGGAAATTTATATTTGGATACTTTTATTTTTGGCTTAAATTCTGTATTTTGATAACCTTTACACAGTCAGACAAGAAGTAAATACACAATTCTAACATCCCAATCTCAAATACTTGCTCATGAGGATATTTGCAGTATGTTTAATAATTTTTTTTCAACAAACTGGCCATATCCCACTGAGGCTGGGTGGCCCAAAAAGAAACACGAAAGTTTCTCTTTAAATTTTGTAATTTATACAGGAGAAGGGGTTACTAGCCCTTTGCTTGTTTAATAATATTTTGGAAAAAATGTGTTTTGTAATTTAGTGTTCCTATTTAATGTAGAATCTTTGACTGATCTCTGTGCAGAAATGATAAAAATACAGTATAATAACTTTTGTATATTTTTGTATATTATGATTAACAGATGATCACTTTTAGTTCTATAATAATGCTGATACTTTAACATTGCTAGAAGTAGCAGGTGCTGGGGACTTTCTGTCACTGCTGCAGAAGAGTGGCCTCAACAAAGACTGGATGCAGAGGCCTCGCTTGGCTGTACTAGCTGACCATCACATCTTCAGGCATGATTTTTTGAAACTACATGATAATCTGACTAATGTCTTACTTTTGAGTGATCAGAAGAGAGATGAGTTTCTCAAGTGAGTATATTGAGGAGGATCATTTTCTGTTATAATATTAAGTACTCAGAGATATCATCACTTCATTTTTTTAATGTGGGGTTGAAGGCAGTACAGCGCCATACACACGCATGCATGTGCAGAGACAGAATGACAGACAGCTGCTAACACAGTGTTTTCATATTCTCTTTGTCTTCAGAGTTAAAATGAAAAGAAACTGTTTAAAATATTTATATATAAATTATTTATCATCATGAATCATAAATCTAAGGAGAAATAAATAAATTAGCTGTTTCTACATAGCAGTCATATTTATTTTGTGTGTATATGAGTGAGAGCCCACCAATGGCTGTGTTATAATACTATACTGATAAATTACCTTCCAAACTTACAGCATTTTTGCAACCCTACAGTACTTTGCCTACTCTGATGTATTGCATATGCATTGTGTATCAGTTTGATTATTAATCTTATATTTTATGATAATTGCATGTGTGAGGCTGGGCTCCTGCTGTGTCAGTGTTTATATCTCTCCCTTACTCTACATATCTATCCTTCCCTCCACACATCTGTCCCTACCTCCACACATCCAACTCCCTCTCTCCACTCCTGTTGCCCCCTTCCCTCCACTCCAACCTTCCTTCCATTCCTCCTTCCCTTCCCTTGACATTGTTATAACCAAAATTGTTTTGTTAGGAATAAAATACAAATTCTTTTATTGTCTAGTGTACTAGTAAGTCTTTATTGTAAAATTATATTATTGCAGTGACATTATTTTTACAAACAAATATTATTTGGTCTGTGAATCCCTTAACCCCCAACCAGCCCAGGGGCCATCACAGCCCTTCAACCTAACATGAATAGAATGCAGTGATGATGTCTCTCGAGTACTTTTTTCAATATTTTGACAACTTTTCATAATTATTTTTTGGGTTTTGCACTTACAGAATGGGGAGTATTACTCTGAGCATGTATAGTAAAACACCTCACCCTATGGCCAGTAGTACATGGTAATGGAGTAAGGATAAGCACATTAAATCCAGGGAAAATGGAGAGTGAATGATGATTTTACATTTGTCTGTTGTTTCCAAAACCCACAAAATGTAGGTCTGTTAAATCAAGGTTTTACTTTATTTATGAATGCTGATCTGGAGTTATGAATGTTGCAAACATACAAGTAGTAATTTATTGAAGTAAGTTTGATTGTTAGGCAGGCTAATTTTGTGATGTAAATGGAAAGGCTTGCTTTTCTTTGTCTTCTTTGCCTTATACTTATCTACTGTAGCTCATCTCATTTGATAGGTTGCCTTCTGTCTGTTCCTATTTGGGATCTGTTGTTTTGACCTGCCAGTGATACCCCTCCCCCAATCCTTTAATCATAGTGTATAACAGCTTTGAGATAATTTCTTTAAAGCTGTTTACTTCATTAACTTTCTTATCTTCACATATTCGTCCTTCCTAGACTTCTTTTTCCTCTGCTATGGATGCATCTGCATGTACCACATACACACACCCATTACTAAGCTTTAACACTCATGTAATAAGCAAAATACAGTATCAAGCATTCTTTTAAGACCGTACACTTGTATAGATTTTAACACATTGGCTGTTTCCCACTGAGGCAGGGTGACTCACAAAGAATGAAAAACTGAAAAAGAAAGAAAAAACTTTTATCATCCAACACTTTTACCATCATTTATACGTAATCACTGTCTTTGCAGAGGCGATTGGATACAACAGTTTAGATGTCACTCCAAACAGCTAATATCCCAAACCCCTCCTTTAAAGTGCAGGCCTTGTACTTAAAGTCTGGGTAACCTGTTTCCCTGTATCCCTTCACAAAATATTACCCTGCTCACACTCCAACAGTTAGTCAGGTCCCAAAAACCATTCATCTTCATTCACACTCTAACATGTTCACGCACGCTTGCTGGAAGTCCAAGCCCCTCGCACACTAAACCTATACCCCCTCTCTCCAACCTTTCCTTGGATGACCTCTACCCTGCCTTCCTTCCACTACAGATTTGTACGCTCTCCAAGTCATTATACTTTGTTCTATTTATTTTTTTTTATTATCACACCGGCCGATTCCCACCAAGGCAGGGTGGCCCGAAAAAGAAAAACTTTCACCATCATTCACTCCATCACTGTCTTGCCAGAAGGGTGCTTTACACTACAGTTTTTAAACTGCAACATTAACACCCCTCCTTCAGAGTGCAGGCACTGTACTTCCCATCTCCAGGACTCAAGTCCGGCCTGCCGGTTTCCCTGAATCCCTTCATAAATGTTACTTTGCTCACACTCCAACAGCACGTCAAGTATTAAAAACCATTTGTCTCCATTCACTCCTATCAAACACGCTCACGCATGCCTGCTGGAAGTCCAAGCCCCTCGCACACAAAACCTCCTTTACCCCTCCCTCCAACCCTTCCTAGGCCGACCCCTACCCCGCCTTCCTTCCATACAGACTGATACACTCTTGAAGTCATTCTGTTTCGCTCCATTCTCTCTACATGTCCGAACCACCTCAACAACCCTTCCTCAGCCCTCTGGACAACAGTTTTGGTAATCCCGCACCTCCTCCTAACTTCCAAACTACGAATTCTCTGCATTATATTCACACCACACATTGCCCTCAGACATGACATCTCCACTGCCTCCAGCCTTCTCCTCGCTTGCAACATTCATCACCCACGCTTCACACCCATATAAGAGCGTTGGTAAAAACTATACTCTCATACATTCCACTCTTTGCCTCCAAGGACAAAGTTCTTTGTCTCCACAGACTCCTAAGTGCACCACTCACTCTTTTTCCCTCATCAATTCTATGATTCACCTCATCTTTCATAGACCCATCCGCTGACACGTCCACTCCCAAATATCTGAATACGTTCACCTCCTCCATACTCTCTCCCTCCAATCTGATATTCAATCTTTCATCACCTAATCTTTTTGTTATCCTCATAACCTTACTCTTTCCTGTATTCACCTTTAATTTTCTTCTTTTGCACACCCTACCAAATTCATCCACCAATCTCTGCAACTTCTCTTCAGAATCTCCCAAGAGCACAGTGTCATCAGCAAAGAGCAGCTGTGACAACTCCCACTTTGTGTGTGATTCTTTATCTTTTAACTCCACGCCTCTTGCCAAGACCCTCGCATTTACTTCTCTTACAACCCCATCTATAAATATATTAAACAACCACGGTGACATCACACATCCTTGTCTAAGGCCTACTTTTACTGGGGAAAAAATTTCCTCTTTCCTACATACTCTAACTTGAGCCTCACTATCCTCGTAAAAACTCTTCACTGCTTTCAGTAACCTACCTCCTACACCATACACTTGCAACATCTGCCACATTGCCCCCCTATCCACCCTGTCATACGCCTTTTCCAAATCCATAAATGCCACAAAGACCTCTTTAGCCTTATCTAAATACTGTTCACTTATATGTTTCACTGTAAACACCTGGTCCACACACCCCCTACCTTTCCTAAAGCCTCCTTGTTCATCTGCTATCCTATTTCTCCGTCTTACTCTTAATTCTTTCAATTATAACTCTACCATACACCTTACCAGGTACACTCAACAGACTTATCCCCCTATAATTTTTGCACTCTCTTTTATCCCCTTTGCCTTTATACAAAGGAACTATGCATGCTCTCTGCCAATCCCTAGGTACCTTACCCTCTTCCATACATTTATTAAATAATTGCACCAACCACTCCAAAACTATATCCCCACCTGCTTTTAACATTTCTATCTTTATCCCATCAATCCCGGCTGCCTTACCCCCTTTCATTTTACCTACTGCCTCACGAACTTCCCCCACACTCACAACTGGCTCTTCCTCACTCCTACAAGATGTTATTCCTCCTTGCCCTATACACGAAATCACAGCTTCCCTATCTTCATCAACATTTAACAATTCCTCAAAATATTCCCTCCATCTTCCCAATACCTCTAACTCTCCATTTAATAACTCTCCTCTCCTATTTTTAACTGACAAATCCATTTGTTCTCTAGGCTTTCTTAACTTGTTAATCTCACTCCAAAACTTTTTCTTATTTTCAAACAAATTTGTTGATAACATCTCACCCACTCTCTCATTTGCTCTCTTTTTACATTGCTTCACCACTCTCTTATCTTCTCTCTTTTTCTCCATATACTCTTCCCTCCTTGCATCACTTCTACTTTGTAAAAACTTCTCATATGCTAATTTTTCTCCCTTACTACTCTCTTTACATCATCATTCCACCAATCGCTCCTCTTCCTCCTGCACCCACTTTCCTGTAACCACAAACTTCTGCTGAACACTCTAACACTACATTTTTAAACCTAGCCCATACCTCTTCGACCCCATTGCCTATGCTCTCATTAGCCCATCTATCCTCCAATAGCTGTTTATATCTTACCCTAACTGCCTCCTCTTTTAGTTTATAAACCTTCACCTCTCTCTTCCCTGATGCTTCTATTCTCCTTGTATCCCATCTACCTTTTACTCTCAACAACCCTTCTTCAGCCCTCTGACTAATACTTATAGTAACTCCACACCTCCTCCTAATTTCCACACTGAATTCTCTGCAAATTATTGACACCACACATTGCATGGCATCTCCACTGCCTCCAGCCTCTTCCTTGCTGCAGCATATACAACCCATGCTTCACACCCATATAAGAGTATTGGTACCACTATACTCTCGTACATTCCCTTCTTTGCCTCCATGGATAACATTTTGTTTTGTCTCCACAGGTACCTCAAAGCACCACTCAGCTTTTCTCCTTCATTATTTCTATGGTTAACCTTGTCCTTCATAAACCCATCTGCTGATAAGTCAACTCACAAATATCTGAACACATTCACTTCTTCCATGCTCCCTCCCTCCAGTGTAATACCCAATTTTTCTTTATCTAAATTGTTTGGTACCCTCATCACCTTACTCTTGTGTATGTTCACTTTCAACTTTCTTCATTTACACACCCTCCCAAACTCATCAACTCACCTTTGCAACTTTTCTTTAGAATCCCCCAAAAGCACAGTATCATCAGCAAAAAGTAACTGTGTCACCTCCTATTTTGTATTTGATTCCCCATAATTTAATTCCACCCTCTCCCCAACACCCTATCATTTACCTCTTTTACAACCTCATCTATAAATATGTTAAACAACTGCCTACTTTTACTGGGCAGTAATCTCTCTCTCTCTTCTGCATGCACTAACCTGAGCCTCACTCTCATAAAAACTCTCAGCATTTAGCATTGCAGTACCTATTCTATGCACTTGCAACATCTACCACATTGCTCCCCTGTCCACCCTATCTTATTATGTATACAGCCTCTCCTCACTTAGTGACGTACTCATTTACTGACAACTCGGACTTACAACAGGCTCTCTGACCAGTATGCATACATAAATAATGTATATTAGAGCTGATTTCCTCCATTATGTTTATTTCAATATACAGTACACTACTGTATAAACGTTTAAAAATATACTAAAAATGTTATAAATGGTGCAAAGGCGACATTAAAACAATATCAAAGATGGTTGACACACACCCACTACCATTATAATATGCTCCTCACTTAGTGATGAATTCGTTTACCGACGTGGTCTTAGGAACGGAACTCCATCATTAAATGAGGAGAGGCTGTATATAATAAGAAATATTGCTTGACAATTTCTTCTAGGTCTGTTGCGGATGACTTGCGTCAGTATCCTGAGGAGTTGGTATCGGGTACTTTGGCTAAAGCACTATTAAGTCGCCCATTGTTGTTGCATCCAGCTGCTGCTACCCACCTCATGCCCAAAGTTCTTACACCAAGGAATGGTAAGTATATATGCTATATATTTATAACTAGTGTTTCAGATGGTATTTTTAAAATTTTTTACATTATGTACCCTAATGCAAAAAGGATTTTTTTTTTTTTAATTTTTAGTTTGCTCTTTTTATTTTATGCTGTATAACGTTTAATTTTTATTGATAATTTATCATATCTTTGGTGAATCAATGTGAATTTATCATATTAATACCTCTTGCACTGTAGTTTGGGAATTGGAAGCATATTAAAATCTGGGTGAGTGGCTTTTCTATTTGAAATAATACAGCACAACCCTGCTGAACTAATGTCAACGCCTAAAGCATTATGAAAATAATAAATTTTTGGTATACAGTATATTAAAATAAGGTGTTTATTAGTTATATTTAACTACTAAATACTTCAAAATATAATATACCAGTATACAGTACACACAAGTGGTGCAGAACACTTAAAAATCATCTAGTGTGGAAGGCTTGGGAGCTCCATAAATGCAGTGTAATGTTTGATATGTAATACTAAAGGTCAGAAACTTGCTAGGCTAAACTGAAAATTTATACAGTATTTTATGTTCCATTTGTTATAGGTACAAGTGTTGTATATTATTTAAGCAGCATCTAGAGTATTAATAGTAGTGGAAACTGTCTCCATGATGAAATTTCTCATTGAATAATTGTAATTTTGTTTAATTTAGTATGCTGGTAAGTTCCTTGAGCCATTGCAGTATTTACATGGTATACAGTGGAACCTTGGTACTTGAGCAGCTCCCTAGTCGAACAAAGCTCAGCACTTGACCAAACAAACATGACCTGCCAGAACTTTGCTGTAAACTATTTTATGTTTCTTTGTATTTTTTAGTGTTTTTTATATTATTTGTATAAATAAGTCACCATTGGGGCTGTAAAGATTAGTGATGACAGCCAGCCAAAAAGAAAATTGGTTGGGAAGAATTTGTTCAATACTTGAACAGATTGGCACTCGAACAGTCTTCTGGAATGAATTAAGTTCAAGTACTAAGGTTATTTTTTTTTTCTTCTTATTCTTTTAAGTAATTTTTACAGGAAAAGGGGTTACTAGCCCATTGTTCCCAGCATTTTAGTTGACTTTTACAACACGCATGGCTTACGGAGGAAAGATTCTTATTCCACTTCCCCATGGATATAAAAGGAAAAGTAATTAGAACAAAAACTAAGATAAAATCAAAGAAAACTCAGATGAGTGTGTATAAATAAACGTGTACATGTATGGTTAGTGTGACCTAAGTGTAAGTAGAAGTAGCAAGACGTACCTGTAATCTTGCATATTTATGAGACAGACAAAAGACACCAGCAATCCTACCATCATGTAAAACAATTACAGGCTTTCGTTTTACACTCACTTGGCAGAACAGTAGTACAGTGGACCCCTGGTTAACGAACTTTTTTCATTCCAGTAGTATGTTCAGGTGCCAGTACTGACCGAATTTTTTCCCATAAGGAATATTGTGAAGTAGATTAGTCCATTTCAGACCCCCAAACATACACGTACAAACGCACGTACATAAATACACTTACATAATTGGTCGCATTTGGAGGTGATCGTTAAGCGGGGGTCCACTGTACCTCCCTGGGCAGAGAGCGTGTATAGTCCCTTTATATAAAGGGAAGGGGGACAAAAGAGATTGTAAAAATTATAGAGGAATAAGTTTTCTGAGTATACCAGGAAAAGTGTACGGTAGGGTTGTTATTGAAAGAATTAGAGGTAAGACAGAATGTAGAATTGCGGATGAGCAAGGAGGTTTCAGAGTGGGTAGGGGATGTGTAGATCAAGTGTTTACATTGAAGCATATATGTGAGCAGTATTTAGATAAAGGTAGGGAAGTTTTTTATTGCATTTATGGATTTAGAAAAGGCATATGATAGAGTGGATAGGGGAGCAATGCGGCAGATGTTGCTGGTGTATGGAATAGGTGGTAAGTTACTGAATGCTGTAAAGAGTTTTTATGAGGATAGTGAGGCTCAGGTTAGGGTGTGTAGAAGAGAGGGAGACTACTTCCCAGTAAAAGTAGGTCTTAGACAGGGATGTGTAATGTCACCATGGTTGTTTAATATATTTATAGATGGGGTTGTAAAAGAAGTAAATGCTAGGGTGTTCGGAAGAGGGCTGGGATTAAATTATGGGGAATTAAATACAAATTGGGAAGTGACACAGCTACTTTTTGCTGATGATACTGTGCTTATGGGAGATTCTAAAGAAAAATTGCAAAGGTTAGTGGACGAATTTGGGAATGTGTGTAAAGGTAGAAAGTTGAAAGTGAACATAGAAAAAAGTAAGGTGATGAAAGTATCAAATGATTTAGATAAAGAAAAATTGGATATCAAATTGGGGAGGAGGAGTATGGAAGAAGTGAATGTTTTCAGATATTTGGGAGTTGACATGTCAGCGGATGGATTTATGATGGATGAGGTTAATCATAGAATTGATGAAGGAAAAAAGGTGAGTGGTGCATTGAGGTATATGTGGAGGCCAAAAATGTTATCTTTGGAGGCAAAGAAGGGAATGTATGAAAGTATAGTAGTACCAACACTCTTATATGGGTGTGAAGCTTGGGTTGTAAATACTGCAGCAAGGAGGCAGTTGGAGGCATTGGAGATGTCCTGTCTAAGAGCAATGTGTGGTGTAAATATTATGCAGAAAATTTGGAGTGTGGAAATTAGGAGAAGGTGTGGAGTTAATTAAAGTGTTAGTCAGAGGGCTGAAGAGGGTTTGTTGAGGTGGTTTGGTCATTTAGAGAGAATGGATCAAAGTAGAATGACATGAAGAGCTTATAAATCTGTAGGGGAAGGAAGGCGGGGTAGGGGTCGTCCTCGAAAAGGTTGGAGGGAGGGGGTAAAGGAGGTGTTGTGGGTGAGGGGTTTGGACTTCCAGCAAGCGTGCATGAGCGTGTTAGATAGGAGTGAATGGAGACAAATGGTATTTGGGACCTACCGATCTGTTGGAGTGTGAGCAGGGTAATATTTAGTGAAGGGATTCAGGGAAACTGGTTATTTTATATAACCGGATTTGAGTCCTTGAAATGGGAAGTACAATGCCTGCACTCTAAAGGAGGGGTTCAGGATATTGGCAGTTTGGAGGGATATGTTGTGTATCTTTATACGTATATGCTTCTAAGCTATTGTCTTCTGAGCACCTCTGCAAAAACAGTGATTATGTGTGAGTGAGGTGAAAGAGTTGAATGATGATGAAAGTATTTTTTGGGGGGGATTTTCTTTCTTTTTGGGTCGCCCTGCCTTGGTGGGAGACGGCCGACTTGTTAAAAAAAAAAAAAAAAAAAAAACTAAGGTTCCACTGTATTTCAGTCTATGTGAACTTTACCACCCTTACCAGCTTTCTCACTTTGTTTGGTGTCATCACTCTCTCCTCTTCTCTCTCTATTTACATCTCTCTTTTTCTATAATTTATTATAATGTTTCATTAAATTTCCAATGTGTATAAAATATGTAAACTATACATAACTTTTTAGTTATGTGTAAAATAATGTTCTTCTGAATATAGTTTTATTGCAGCTGTAATGGTAATGGATTTGCTTTGTGCAGCCTAACATTACTGTTATACTAGTGTAATATACTTATTTTCATCATACTTTGATATGATAATACACTTATATCATGCAGGTGGAGATAATGATGCAGACAGTGGGTTGTTCAGTGCTGAGGTATTCCAGCGTGACATAGTGCCACAGCTTATCCGCTTGTTTAATGTGCATGATGCAACTGTTCGGAGTATCCTGCTGATGTATCTGCCTTACTATGTTTCATTAATCCCAAAAGATGTTCTAGCCAATGATGTGGTGAGTTGTACAAGTGGTTGGTATTTACCTCAATTTTTTTGTATTTGCATATTTTGTTTTTATATATATTCACTTATATTTCTGTAGCTATTAAAGTATTCTTTGTTACTGCGGTTGTTTGTTTTATAATTTATGCTTTTGGCTTTCACTTAGTGTAAACAATGTTGAATAATTGAAAACAGTATGGAGGGGCACTAAAGCAAATTTAGCAGTACTCTGAGCTCAGATTAATAAAATGGAAGATTATCTGGCTTAGATTACACAGTGCATATTTTTTTAAACATCAAAACAATGATGTAGGTAAACTTTCTTACTGAGGGGTTATCAACTTTCTAAAAATATAGGAAAGAATATGAAAAAAATATATAGTTGGCCATATCTCAAATGCTGCTTTGCTCGACATTGATGGATTTTGATCGCATTTTAATTAAAATTTGTTACAAATACAGCTGCCGGAATTGTTACTTGGTATCCGTGACTCAAGTGACAGCTTAGTGATGTCAACACTCCATGCCCTTGCTGAACTTGTACCCATTCTTGGTGCTAACACTGTCATTGGAGAAAATAGACAGAATCTCTTCACAACTGCTAAGCCAAAGGTTAGCACTAATTTAGTTATAGTAATTTTCAGTATCACATATGCTGTGTAGTAAAGTTAAGGTAGTATGAACATGGAGGCAAAGAAGGGAATGTACAAGAGTATAGTGTTGCTAACACTCTTAAATGGGTGTGAAGCATGGGTTGTAAATGCTGCAGTGAGGAGGCAGCTGGAGGTAGTGGAGATGTGTCTAAGGGCAATGTGTGGTGTAAATATTATGCAGAGAATTCATAGTGTGGAAATAGGAGGAGGTGTGGAGTTACTAAAATTATTAGTCAGAGGGCTGAAGAAGGGTTGTTGAGGTGGTTCGATCATTTAGAGAGAATTGAGTAAAGTAGAATGACTTGGAGAGCATATAAATCTGTAGGGGAAGGAAGGCAGGGTAGGGGTCATCCTCTAAAAGGTTAGAAAGAGGGGGTAAAGGAGGTTTTGTAGGCAAAGGGCTTGGACTTCCAGCAAGCATTCACGAGCGTGTTAGATAGGAGTGAATGGAGATGAACAGTTTTTGGGACCTGACAAGCTGTTGGAGTGAAGGGATTCAAGGAAACCGGTTATTTTTATATATCCAGACTTGAGTACTGGAAATGGGAAATGCAATGCCTGCACTTCAAAGGAGGGGTTTGGGATATTGGCAGTTTGGAGAGATATGTTATATATCTTTCTTTCAACGTACCAGCCATATCCCACTGAGGTGGGGTGGCCCAAAAGGAAAAACGAAAGTTTCTCATTTCAAATTTAGTAATATACACAGGAGAAGGGGTTACTAGCCCCTTGCTCCCGGCATTTTAGTCGCCTCTTACGACACGCATGGCTTACGGAGGAAGAATTCTGTTCCACTTCCCCGTGGAAATAAGAGGAAATAGACAAGAACAAGAGCTAGAAAGAAAATAGAAGAAAACCCAGAGGGGTATGTATATATATGCTTGTACATGTCTGTGCAGTGTGATCTAAGTGTAAGTAGAAGTAGCAAGACATACCTGAAATCTTGCATGTTTATGTAACAGAAAAAAGGACACCAGCAATCTTACCATCATGTAAAACAATTATAGGCTTTCGTTTTACACTCACTTGGCAGGACGGTAGTACCTCCCTGGGCGGTTGCTGTCTACCAACCTACTACCTATATATGTTATATATCTTCTTTCAACACACCAGCCGTATCCCACCGAGGCAGGGTGGCCCAAAAGGAAAAACGAAAGTTTCTCCTTTTACATTTAGTAATATATATAGGAGAAGGGGTTACTAGCCCTTTGCTCCCGGCATTTTAGTCACCTCTTACAACACGCATGGCTTATGGAGGAAGAATTCTGTTCCACTTCCCCATGGAGGTAAGAGGAAATAAACAAGAACAAGAACTAGAAAGAAAATAGAAGAAAACCCAAAGGGGTGTGTATATATATGCTTGTACATGTACATGTAGTGTGACCTAACCTGAAATCTTGCACGTGTATGAGACAGAAAAAAAAAGACACCAGCAATCCTACCATCGTGTAAAACAATTACAGGCTTCAGTTTTACACTCGCTTGGCAGGATGGTAGTACCTCCCTGGACGGTATATGTTATATATACATATTTATATATGCTTCTAAACTGTTGTATCTGGGGGCCTCTACAAAACCAGTGATTATGTATGAATGAGGTGAAAGTGTTGAATGGTAATGAAAGTAAGTATTTTCTTTTTGGGAATTTTCTTTCTTTATGGGTCACCCTGCCTTGGTGGGAGATGGCCAACTTGTTGAGAAAAAAAAAAACATTATATTTGTTAGGTAGTAGGTTGGTAGACAGCAACTGCCCAGGGAGGTACTACTGTCCTGCCAAGTGAGTGTAAAGTGGAAGCCTGTAATTGTTTTACATGTTGGTAGGATTGCTGATGACTTTTCTCTGTCTCATAAACATGCAAGATTTCAGGTACAGTGGAACCTCAAAAATCGAACTTAATCCATTCCAGGAGCTAGTTCTAAATTCGAAGCAATATTTCCCATAAGAAATAATGGAAATACAATTAATCCGTTCCAGAAACCCAAAAATATTCACACAAAAAATACATTTTACAGAGATTAATTACAGTTTTACATACAACAAATACTATAGTTTTTAATTATGTATAGTAATACATATAAAATAACATTTTTACTTACCTTTATTGAAGATTGGTGATGGCATCTGGAAGATAGGGAGGAGAAGAGAGGGAGTTGGGGTTAGTGTTTGGAAGGAGAATCCCTCTCCATGAGGACTTCAGGTAAAGCCCTCTCTGGGGTTACTTCCCTTCTCTGTCTTTTAATGCCACTAGGACCAGCTTGAGAGTCACTGGACCCCTGTCTCACAAAATAACTGTCCACAGTCCTCTGTTTCTGGCACCTCTTTAACATTTCCCTAAAATGGGACATGGTTCTGTCACTGAACTTGTTGCAAAGATGGCTTGTTTCAGCTTGCTCAGGGTGGTACTTCTGCACAAACATTTGGACATCATTCCACTTGGCACAAATCTCCTTAATCTTTGAAGAAGGCACCTCATCCACTCCCTCTTCCTCCTCCTCTGAAGCAAGTTCCTCAGTTGTGGTCTGATACTGCAGCTCTTCAGTGGTTAGCTCTTCCCTGTGGTCCTCCACCAACTCTTCCACATCCTCACCACTCACCTCCAACCCCAGGGTGTTCCCCAATGCCACAGTAGAGTCCACAACAGGCAGAGGGTGAGCTGGGTCAGGGTCAGGGTCAGGGTCAGCCTCAAACCCTTCAAAATCCCTCATTTGGACACAATCTGGCCACAGTTGTTTTCAAGCAGAGTTCAAAGTCCTGGAAGTCACTCCCTCCCAAGCCTTACCTATAAGGCTTATGGAGCTGTAGATGTTGAAGTGATTCCTCCTGAACTCTCTTAGGGTCAACTTAGTGTCAGTGGTCACCTCAAAGCACTTTTCAAACACTGCTTTTGTGTAGAGCTTTTTGAAGTTAGAAATGCCCTGCTGTTCCATGGGCTGGAGGAGATGAGTGGTGTTAGGAGGCAAGAACTTCACTTTTATAAAACTGAAGTCCTTAGACAAGAGGTCTAATAAGTTTGGAGGATGAGCAGGAGCATTGTCCATTAACATGACGCACTTAAGTGGCAGTTTCTTTTCCTGGAGGTATTTTTTCACACTGTGGCCAAACACTTCATGGACCCACTGTTTGAAAATTTGTCTTGTGACCCATGCCTTATGATTAGCTTTCCACAAGACACATAACTTGTTCTTAAAGACATTGTTTTTCTTAAACACACTGGAATTTTCTGAATGATACACAAGTAAAGGCTTCACTTTAAAATCACCACTAGCATTAGCACAGAACAAAAGAATAAGCCTGTCTTTCATGGGCTTGTGTCCTGGCAGTGCCTTTTCCTCCTGTGTGATGAAGGTCCTTTTTGGCATTTTCTTTCAAAACAGGCCTGTTTCGTCACAATTAAACACTTGTTCAGGTTTCAATTCTTCGCTGTCTATGTACCCCTTAAACTCCTGTACAAACTTCTCAGCTGCCCGTTTGTCTGAACTGGCTGCCTCACCATGTCTTACAACATTGTGTATGCCACTATGCTTCTTAAATCTGTCAAACCAGCCTCTGCTGGCCTTAAATTCACTATCAGCACTGGTTCCAGGAGTTTTCTGTACCAGATCGGCATGCAACTTCCTTGCCTTTTCGCAAATAATCGTCTCCGAAACACTATCACCTGCAATCTCTTTATCCTTGATCCACACCAGCAACAACTTCTCAACCTCTTCAACTATTTGTGGTCTTTTTTTGGTTAGCATATTAACACCTTTCGCAACATCAGCTTCCTTGATTTGTTCTTTCTTTGACAAGATAGAACCGATGGTCGACTTGTTTTTCCCATACATCCTGGCAAGCTCAACAAGTCTCACACCACTCTCATACTTCTGTATTATTTCCTTCTTCACATCTATGGTGTTTCTCACTTTCTTTACCACAGGGGTACCACTAGCAAGTTTCTTTGGGCCCATGGCAGCTTATTTCACAGTCCCACAAGCACTAAACACAACGAAATAATCGTAAAATGCGTGAATGAGAGCGCAGGTTAGTATTCACTTGAGCATAAATAAAGCTAGACTGCTCACGGTGCCTGTGCGGGGACGCAGACAGAGCGGGCCGGCAGACAGGTCCCGTACCCGGCGGTCCGAAAATAGGGGCGCATTCGATAATAGGGACACAGTTTGTCTGAGAAAATGGTCCTATTTTCGAAGCGTTCGATATGTGATACATTCGATTTTTGAGGTTCCACTGTATTACGAAATGTTTCGTATGACCTGGCAGGATATGTTTACTAACCGAGAAACAATGCTACACTGGCTGAGAATGTGTGTGGGAAGTGGCTTTGTCTGCATGCTGGGCACTAGACAGGTTCCGTACAATCGACGAAAACGGAACCAAAAAATTGACGAAAAAGTCGG